CAAGTGCCTTACTGGTAGTAACAAGAAGCTAGTAATTACAATTCTAATTAAATTCTTATTGCTATAGCCTGAGTATTCGTTCCTGCGACCATTTGGTCTCCGGTCCTGTTTCGTTGGTGATTTGAAGAGAGATACGATTACCACAGCATCTTTGGACTCGGGATCTGAACTGAACCACTTTCTTCTTTTTTTTCAACCTTAAGTATTATACTATAGGACATGAAAGGACATTATAGGACTAGGTCACTCTGCCATGGACTTCGCACGGCCTCCCGCCCCATCCTCGTTTTCATCTTGACCCTCCCGCTCCTTGGGAATAAACACCGTGTCGGTGAGCTCTTGGATCAGGATACCGTTGAGGCTCTCCTCTCCGTGTCGTGAGGGCTTTGGATCGGAGCACCGGTGATACCCGGTCATGCCTTGGAGATCGCAGAGTGAAGCGAATTCGGTTCTGAGCGAATTCGTGTGTGTTCCTCCAATCTGAGCGGCGAAAAAGACCCATGACCGCCTTCAAATAACCTGTATGGGGCCTAAGAACTTCACATCATGAGTCATGAGCTTCTGATCATCCTCTTACTTGATGAATCTCATGTGAGAATTCAGAGTTCTTCGTGTCCAAGTAGTCTATTCAAGACCACCCCCAAGAAAAGCCTCCTGATATCGACAAGCTTAAGAGGCATGATCCACATCAGTCAACTCCTCTTCGACCTACCCGGGCCCATGGGGTAATTCGGCGTGACCAAATGTGACAAGTACATTTAAAAACACCATACACACAAGATCTCCATACACACCGAAGTGGGTTCTTGTCCATCTTCTCCTGTAGGTTCGCTTATGTTTTCTTATGTCCCAAGTACGAAAACCACCCCGGTCCAGCCCCGGTTCGCACACCGGTCCTTCTGAGCTGCATACTCCTGATAAGGCATTAAGATCACCAGGTCAAAGCCTTGGAAAGACCAAGAGTTGCCGTTGGCTCAGGGGCCTTCAGACTGCATTTTTTGGATTTCATAGGTTGTTGTTTTCCTATCTCGAAAAGAAACACATGAAGGTTGCGATTCTCCCCCCATGGAGTATACTGAGTATACCTTGAATGGAAAACAACAAGTCAGGTCCCTTCAAGTGGTGGAACTGCTGATGCATTGAGCTTTCCAAACGATTTCTGTGTAAGAGAGCCATGTAGGACAACTTATGCTCACTCCTTCATTCTGCCCCTCAGCACGCACCAGTTCCAGCCGAGCACGAACCAGCAGAGCTGCCGAATCAGGGCCCGACGTACTGGCTTCTTGTCCTGGCTTCGCACGGATTCCGTCAAGTTGTTTTAGGTGATGACTACAGTGATGGAAGACATCCTGAACACTGCAAGCTGTGCTCTATATGATACCTGTTCACACGTCATGCAAGGCTTTTTCCTCCAACAGCATAGGCCAGGCAACGATGTACAACACATCGGCACCAAATATGAGCACAATCCTTCGTAAACACCTGCAGGATGTGAACGATGACTTGCCAAATGTATTCCACTGGCGGATGCTGGCGGGTAGTCCGGGCAGTGTGTGTGTCTTTCTGTTTTGAGTGAACTGGTAGATGGCGATGTTCGTCATTCCAAAAAAAGGGACCTGGTTCTGGTAGAAGTATGGTTCTTAGCCAGTTCCTACCGAAGCATCAAACACACCACTGACCAAGCCTGATGCTTGTTCAGTGTGACAAGAAGATTTCCTCGACCTTTTCCAATAATCTCTTGAAATTCAAGCATTCTCCTCAAAAAGAATCAGAAGGAAACAAAACATATCTAAAGGTCTCGGTCTCGAAAAGAAAAAAGAAAACAGGGAAGACGACAGAAGAAAAACCACGTCACGAGACGCGTAAAGTTCTGGATCTTCGCAGCAGTTCTCACGAGCTCTGCCGCAGCCGTCCTGGGCCGTGACCTGTGGCGGCATGGTGGCGTACACCTGCGAAGACGAGCGACGGTAGTCGTACACCTCTCAATGCACAAGACGTGTGATAAACACCGCAAAAGGAAAGGAAGGAAAAGAGAGGAACACAAGTAACACAAGAGAAAAGACAAAAACATGAAGGATACACAAGATCTAAAGGAAACGATATATATATATAGGTCTTATAAGGTCCAAAAAAGATAACAAATAAGCAATAGAGGAAGAACGAACAGAAAGAGAGTAGGAGGGCTCATTTAAAGGTCGGGCTCCTTGGAGACCAAACATGACCAAACGGACAAGCATCGGGAGATGGTTCAAAGTCTCGTTCCTCTCCTTCCAACACAACAGAAGCTCCTTGCACAAAAACCTGATGCCCAGTACATCTTTCCCTTTCTGGGGACAAATCTAACCATAGAAGAGTGGAACATCCTCCTCATGTTTTCGGAGTGCCGTGATTGGTTCACCCGAAGAAAGCCGCCGCTTGCGGCGAGGCGTCACCTCATTTGACACGTCTCTAATTCGTCTCGCCTTGTAGGAGGAGTGCAGCCGAGCTGGTCTCGCCACACCTGCGAGACAGCTGGTCTCGCGCCGGCGGCACTGCCAGCCGCTGGCAGCGACTCGTTGGTCTGTTCGTTTTGAGGTCCGAAGTTGGTTTTAGCCGGCTTCCTAGGTCAGTGTCAACAAAAATAACGGTTGGGATGTTGGTGCCGTCTTGAGCGGAGAACACAGAGGATCCTTGGGCCCTGGAGCCACAGAAGCCATTAAAAGAAGCATCATGAGACCCTGTGGGCCTCCAAAACCATCACAAACAGCTTCACCAAACAAAATCAAACTCAAAACAAAATCAAACCCATTAGACTTAGACCACCATGACCGCCCAAAAAACCCCACAAAATCACTTTACAACTTCACCACTTCAGACCGGATGGAGGATGGTGCTCGGGCGGGACGGAGTCCCAGAGACTGGAGTCCGCGGAGACCGAGACGACTGGAGCCGCCGCGCGTAGAAAGCCGACAACAAAGGGAACCCAACGAAACACTAACAAGGAATCATACTGCCCAAAGGCGACCCTGGACCCGAACCAATTGCTGCATGTTTGAGGTCCAAAAACCTTGGCTGTGAGGGTCAAAACCCTAGCTATGAGGGTCCAATGAGCCATGAGACATCAACAATACTGCTCTTGAAAGTGTTGAAAGACTCTGGCCCTGGCTGTCACGAACTGTTGCCCCGCTTTCTCTGCAACAACTGCCACGAACGATGTCGGATCAGAACCATCGTGTCTTGAGGTGGTCCGCTGCCTGTCTTTTGTCATAATGACACCATGCTGCTAAATGAAACATCTCTGGCAAACCCTTTCCTTTGAACTCCTCCTTCTACAGCATCGTCTCCTTATGCAACAATCACTTAAGGCTTAAGGCCCACAGCAACAAAAGGAGTTGTTTTATAACTGAAAATCGACCAGGCCACTCAGGCGTTCTTTACAAACAAGCTTGCGCTGTCGCCCTTGGCCCCAGTGGGACCTTCTGAGGTCTGCAACAGCCCCTCGACAAGGCCCCCAATGTGATACCTGGGCCGTGGTCGAGGAATCGTGCGACATGTGCATTTCAAGTGGCCCATTTCAAGATCGAACTTGATAGAACTGCTCTGTTTTGAACAGCGGCTGTACTTGATGCAAATGGGACATGTACGAATGGCAGGGGATACAAAAATACCCTCCATAGCTACATGCTTCTACACTTCATGGTATCCGCCCAAAAGACCGCGTCATGCAGGACTTTCTTCCTCTCTTTTGAAGCTTGCTGCAAGTGAAGCACAGCAGCCAACAGAAAAGCGGATGCACACCACTGACGCAGCTGTTCATTACTTGGAGGTGTCTGGTTCATGAGAAGACACCCTCAGCTCCACAGCAATGGCAGCGCATATGAACTCATGGCTTGGTACGACCTGGTAGGTTGGCTGCGTTTGACACATCCCCATTTGCCCATCTGTCCTTCCCATCCCCAGGTAGGCTCAGGCGCCTCTCGGTGGGTAGGAAGCCTCAGGAGGGTGAGAGAGGCGCCCACTCGAACCGCATCTAGATGCTCCATGCGTCATGTGTAGGTGAACTAACGCTGGTCAAGCGCAAACATACCTAGAGTCGTGAAGTCGTGTGGAGAAGACGGCAGAACTTGAGACCTAATGTTAAACACACGAACGTGATCGATCCATAGTGCCACATCTTGAAGCTGTGGAGATTCACAGCATCTGGTGCAGGTTTTGTCAACAGCAATCTGGCCATCCGTCTGCCCTGTGAGATCAATGCTTCTGCACCAGATCAGCGTTCGTCAACAAAACAAATGACCTCCGACAATGGGGGAATCAGGATGATCTGGATCACGACCACATGCTGAGATGAAACAACGCGGGGCTGGCGAGTTCGAAGCTGGATCTACTGAACCAACTTCCGTTCGAACAACTTAGTGACGTAGTAACCGTTCAGAATAGAAACGCCCCTTTTAGCGGAAGAAACATGACCAAGCTACTGAACCCTGGAAGCGAATATAATCCTGTTGGGCCCAAAAAAAGAACATACTTGGAAGAGAACGTGTCATCAAATGAACATGAATCAAAACCAGAAGCCCTGGTCCGCCATGTATATAGCTTGACCTTACAGGGAGGTCAACCATCGGGATCCCTGGTTTTGAATGGTTTTTCATCGCCCAGGGGCTGCAGTCCGCTGTGCGCAAGCGTAGGTCCTGGGATGTCTCACCAGATTTCACCAGGTGTCCGTCTCCGGACGTGAGAATTCCTCAAGGCAAATCTAACAAATCTTCATATAGAATTCCTCAAGACTCATAATATCCTTCTCATTCCTTCTCACTCTAGGACCCTCCATGAGCAGTCCCCTATGACAAGCCTGCACTGGCACGTGCAGAAGGACGTAGCCTGGCGGCGCATCACAGGGGAGCTGCGATCGTGTGTGGCCACGAAGGCTTCGGCGTGGAGCTGCACGAAAGAAAGGAGGAGAGGGTCGGTCGATTGGACGTGGGACATCACTATATATAGATTAATAATATGTAAATACATGTAGATTAATAACCCCGAAAGTTAATCAATCAAGACTCTACAAGACAAAATCAACACAAAAAGATACAAAAAAGGAAGTTCTACAGAGTTTAAAACGAATGGCTCTATCGACCCGAAAACCCCTCTTTCGGATTAACATGAACCACACATTGCAAGTGTTTCTATGTGTTTCTATGACTTGGCAAACATCAGCTCCAGAAGCCGCAATGCACGGTGGAGGAAAAGAATGCCAGCAACACTGGCGCAGCAACAGACTTCATCCTGCAAGGTGCAAATCACCTCCGTGATGTTCCTGCCACGAGTGAGCCAAGTGATAGATGCTCATAACCGGGATGGAATGCCACTTTCCAGTCTGTATATAGGACAAGTTTCTGCGCCGCAAGGCAAAAAGCACTTGGAAAAACCTCTTCTCAACTGCCTAGTCTTTGGACGAAAGGAGTGGTCACCCTTGGCATCTGGACACCTGAAAAACTGATTTTGTAACATTTTATATGTGCAGGCTGAATAAAGGAAGACTTCAGCTGGGTCCCAGTCTTTTGTTTCTTGTTTTTAAAGGTCTCTTCTCTTGGTTCCTATTTGAGAAAAAAGACGCCCCTCTCCGCACTCTCTTGAACCTGAAGGGAATGTCTCTCAGCGCATTCAGGCAGAAGAATTCCTCCGGCCTCGCGAGGATCGCTGTCCAAGGGAACTTGCGTGCCAGACTTTCAAACGTTCATAATGTTCATATATGTACTTTGGGGGGGCGCCAACGCACGGCGCGAAGGGCAGGAAAGCAACTTGGCCAGTATGTTTGATCAAGCCACTTCACCCATCGGCTCCCAAATTGACATACAGGGGCCCCTGGAATCATGGGCCGGATGGCACATCCCCGAATTCTCAATGAAATCCGAAGACCAAACGGTCTTCACTCCGACTCCAGGGAGTAAAAGATCCTAGATCCATTTTCATTCTTACCCGTGCTCAACATTGTATGCTTGACTTTAACCCGAAAACCTTTCGCTTGGTTCACCTTTTTCAACCTCGTCACATTCCCTCTCCCCTTCTTGGCCAGCCGGACGTGTCAGTAAAGGGATTCCTCAGAAATGAAAGTGCTGGTTGATGCGTTGCCCTTCCCTGGGATGACATCTTAAGGTTAATTTCAATGATTCTGGGACAATGTGAGCCGTTCTCACTCTTGGCACAAAGGGCCATGCGAACGTGTCGGGCTGCTGCTGAATCATGCGAGAGGCCTCCTTCGGCTGAGAGTGAGGCGTACGCTTGCGGACGAGAAGAAAGGCCTGGCTGAGAAGAAGGCCTGGTGTCGAGAGTTCATAGAAGTGAAGATAATGCCTTCTCCTAACATGCTGGAACCCGGTAGGAATGGAAACCAACACCTGTAGCGAACATCCTCATCTTTGCAAACTTGCTCATCTATGGCCGGAAAAAAACCCAGGATATGACTAAGTGATTGAAGAACAGGAGCCTGGAGCCACGCGTTTTGGGGTTTGAGCTCTGGGGAATCATTCTCTGGTATGCTCGCTGCTCGGTTTTGGGATGTCACCAGGGCCACTTGGTGAATTCTGCACCTGGTGAATCGTTCAACTCATGCATCAACTGGCCAAATATTCTTTAAATGCACCTGGCACACCCTGGCACCCACCACCCTGGCCCCTAGTCATCGTTCTTTCGTCCCGTACCTTCTGTGGTTGAAAGATGTTCCTCGCACGGGGTGCGGTCCGACATCTTCCGAAGCAAGTGGGTGGGGGAACTGGCGAGGCGGTTTGGAACGGATGGGACTGTCCGTTGCTTGTCGCTTTTTTGCACGACTCTTTTTGGAGAAGATCTGCCTCTCTAAAAGGAAGAACAACACAAGAACTGAAGGGAGCACGATGGGACCACGGTTCCAATTGGCACTGAATTTGGTGCAGGTTGGAATACGGGTGCTCTGGCGAGATGTTCATCAAATGCATCTGCGAGAAAATGTTGAACCGAACCGAGGCAAAACACAGTTCCCAAGAAGCTTCGGCGCGCGCTGAAGAGAATCGCTGGGAAGCGCGGCCCTGCTTGCTGGTGTCTCGCCCTGAATAGAGAATCGTGGAAAAAGAACTGCTAGACAGTCGCTGGTCCCATTGGGACATCCTCAGAGATCTAGAACATCTTTGATCTTTTCACACTGAGAACAGCTCCGAGATTCGTCACTGCCCCTGGTTCTCACCGAGCGACGTGGAGCGTGGCTGAATGCTGACCAGCATGTTGTCAGCCTGAGGTGGCCACGAGGCCGCCCAAAAGGTCCACGAAACGGGATTCACTCGATTCACATCAACTCCTATAAACTGGGAAGTCATGAGCTCTTTGGAGATTCTTGCACCATGGATTCGTTGGCCTCTTAGAAACAGGCCCCCTCTCATGTATCCAGGTGGCGTTTCATGTGCCCAAAACTCCCAGTGACCAATTCCATATAGTTTGGGACCTGGATGAACTCAGTACTATTGAATACTATTGACATCATAAGCCGACATGAATTGCTTCGAAATCTGGAATTCTCACCGCCTCTGGAAGAGTCCCGGGCGATTTCGGACTCTTCTCACCACTCCGTCAGGAGCAAATCACTCAGCAAAGTCACCGGGCCCTTCCGAACACTTGTAGACAAGAGGTTGACCCGGTACCGTCTGCACGGCCCGAGAGCGGTGGCAACCCCGGTTTGGATGAGTTCTACAATCTGTTTGCTTTTTCTTCTATTCTCAGATTTCTTAGCCCCCCCCCCCAACAAATTCTCGGACAGCTGCAAACCTACGTGCTTTCCATCACCCGACACGAACGCAGCACCCGACACTCGACGTCCGTCCGTCCCGGCACTCGTCGCGACCGGTCGCCCCCCCACGCTGGCGCTGGTGAAGCTCGGCCCCAGGACGTCCTGGTTCCGCACGGGACGACGGAACCGTGGCGCGGCAGGCGACGGGGGAAGTCACCAGACCACAGGAGATGTTTGTCACATGACATGTCAAGGAGATGTGGTGTTCATCAATCGAAGCAAGCAGTTTGAAGACTACTGAACTAGCTAGGAGATTCTTTGGAATAATATATATCCATACTGTCGGTCGATATGTTGCCATGACGGTGGCATACGGTCGGTCCCAGTGCCACGCCGAGGTCGACCGAACGGTGTCACTAGAACGGTGGAACGGTGCAGTCAGCTGGGTCAAGGACATTCGAAGGACAAGAATCAACACCCAAAATCACCCAAATGTTTGTGCATGATGTTTGGCAAGAATCAGTTAATCCTTGGCTTCATGAGAATCCCGAATCAACCCCGGAAGAGAAATCTGTTGACGTAGACAGCCAGGACCGCCAGACACCGCAAGGGGCAAGCCCCTTCGTGACAACAACGGCGTTGTCACGAAAGGGCCGGTCCTTCACCCGGATCTCCAAGTCATAGGAGGCCTGAGAGCGACCCGACCGGGTGGGTAAGTGGTCCTTTCGGTGGCTAAGGCTGAGAAGAAGGAGTGGGTGAGTGGGTCTTTTCACCTCTCCGTAGGCTCCTGGTAGGCATCTTCTAGCAGCTAGCCAAATGTTAGGATGGGGCGCATAGTTAAAATGAACCAGATGCCCTAAAAGCTCAGAAGCGGGCAAATTTGCTACGCATTTGCCCACAAGTGGCCCCTTGTAGAGAGAAGAGCCGAAAGCAAACCGAAGCTGTGCAATTGAACATGGCGATTCTGCCAACACGGCTCTCGGCGATGACTTGGGATACGCGGCGGTACAGGCTGCCAGAGAAGTCATGCACAGGAGTCAGGTGATCTTTTACTATTTTTTCAAGTAGGAATGGCCTCCAGCCTGATAGCGATGGCCTCCTTGGTATGTCAGGGTTCTGGTTTTAGGCCCTGAAATATCCCTGGTTCCAGCAATTCTCGCACCGCTTCACAGTTCCCATACAGTTACAAGGTCAAGCTGTATACAGCATGTTCCCCGAATGTGTGTTCGAGCTTCTTTGTCAGCTCCTGCCTCCAGCAATTTTGCACTACTATAGGCTATAGGTATCCCCTCTCAGCTGCAAGGCAAATAGGTGGTTGGCTCTGGTGCATTGCATCACAAATGGTTTTTGGTCCAACCATTTTTTGGTTCGCAGGCTGCTCAAGGAGCACGCATTGTAGCTTCAAATCCTTTAAAGCTCTCAGTCCACAATTAATATACCAGGTCCATCTTGTCTGGGTGTCCTGGACTACCCTGCACGACTTGGAGATGTCCAGACAGGACACCCAGACAGGATATGGAACACTATGTAGCTGATTTTGGAACCTTCGTTCTGGAATTCACGACAGAACATGGGCACCTGCTGGGGCATGCTGGGGCATCTCTTCAGCCCCAGTTACCCGAAAGAAAGGCTTGGAACTCAAGCTGCGGCTTGCTTGAGGTGCTTTACATCACCCTCGTGTTTGGGACCTCGATTCCCCCCCCAAAAAAATAACCGAACACCTCCGAAGAAACCACCTGGACTCCTAAAAAAACAACCAAAAAAAGAAACGCCCCGAACAGTTGAAAACCGAACAGTTGAAAAAAAAGATAACAACAAAAGAAAGAAGAACACGACGACATTGAAACAAAACAAAACACCTGAGGCATCCGAAGTGGGTCGACATCCGAGTCCATCCACGACAACCGCTTCGTTGAGCCCCGGACGGCCAGGCGCGGTGGGTTCAGCGAAATGGCCACCAAGCTCCGTTGGAAGGCCCCAGCCTGGTGGGTCGCTGGGACGGTGGGACAGCAACGGTGGGACGGCATACAGCAACTCTGAAGCAGGGATATCATGCTGTATGCTGGATATCATGCAGGATGTGCTTGAATCAAAGCTGTGTATCCTTTGATACCACATATCCTTTTGATTATTGTTTCATGGATTCACGGGATATCTGGTACACGACCGAATCTGACAATATAGGGGCGGGCTCCTTGAATCATGGTGCTAGCTGCTATCTTTCACACATGTTTCCGACCCGGGTCACTTCTCACTCCCACCAGTATTGTTGTCTTAAGATTTGTTCAGAAACATCAATCATCTAAGGCCATGAAAACAGTGACGCTGGATTTGTTGCGGAAAACATTTGAAGCACCAACAATCTGTCGAACTCTGGTAGCAATAACAACCCTGCTTTTGGGGAGATGACCAAGGTGCCCCCCGGTGGAAGACTAGGTTCTCTTCGCCCATTGCCCCACCCACGCGCCAGGACAGGGATGCCACCAATGGCTCCAGTGGTCGTGTCTATGGTCAGACCAGCTGAGCGGGAGTTGAGGAGTCGAGTCGTGAAGATGGAGATCTTTGGGCCACAAAGACCATGCTTAGACCAAAGAAAAGGATAAGAATGACAAGAGCAATGGATTTTTTGATGGCTGCCAGACAGAACATATTATATTAATATACACAACAGAGTCTCTGTGTCCTCGATGTGAGGATCATGGCCATTTAGAGATCTGGCGATGCATCTGGTTGGGTGCATGGCTCCTGGAAGTTGGTGGAAAGTCGTCCACCAGCATAAACTTCAAGCCCCCCCACTATGCTCGCGTATCACCCCGCCCTCTCCTCCCTGCATGCTTGCTGGTTCAATAATTAGTTCTGTTAACCAACACAAAGCTCCCTTGCTCACTTCCTCTTTTGTGATTTGTTTCGAACAAAACCTCCTTCCTGGTCCTTCCTCATCTTCTCCAATCGGTCTATGTGTGTTTACTTTCTAAAATCCAGAAGCACAGAACCACATGCCCATATCCCCATCAAGATGGCGACCTCAATGGCGGCCTCCCAACCCAAATCGACCCGCTGCTTTTGGAGAAATGCAGTTTCCGCGTCTGGCCTCTTTTCTATTGGAGAAACAAGGAGGCTACTAGGGGCTCCTGGCCTTGCTACTAGGAGCAAGGACGCTACTAGGGGCTCCTGGCATCGCTACTAGTAGCTTCTTGCTACTATATTGGAGAAACAAGGAGACCAGAAGACAACAGCTTACACCCTAACAGGCGTGTTTTCTTTGCTTCCAGTGGGGGCGGACTCGCATCTATCAATCAGTCATCCACAACGACAAATCCGATTTCTTGACATCTGAACAACACCTCTGAACCTTTTTCAGGTTGGAGGGCATCACTACTAGGTTGGAGGCCGTCTGACCTTCGACCAAGTCATGTCCCGCACTGCACCGACCCAGGTCCCACCTGGGAGAGCAGGCCGCGCACGGAAGTCTACCTCTTGTGGCAAACGTCTTTTCTTCGAAGCATTTCATCTTGTTGTTTCCCAGAAATTCCAAATTTACTTTCATTATCTGACTCTGAGATCGAGGCTATGCCTTAATATTTGACTGGCTATGCCAAATTCCCTGACTATATTCATCTAATTAATTCCAAGGTTATGCCTTGTATCTGACTCTAAGAATTCAACACCTTTGACATCCTTTGACTCTTCGAGCAACGCTGCTATCTCAGCGAGATTTCTCCAGCCGTAGGGGGGGGTCGACAAGTTAAAGTTGGAACATCTTCTCGGTAAACATCGTCTTGTGAGGAGGGGTAGATAATGTAGATACCATTATATCATAATATTATATCTAACATCTTCGAGCCATTGCCTATCCATGATACAAAACCTCCCACAAGCCGCACCTGGTCGTAGTAGTTCTTGGGGAACGTCTCACTAAATTCCGCCACCTGGCTAGGGTCAAAACAAGGCCATTTTTCCTCCGCATGCGTCTGCTCATGACTGACCGGAAGAACAACAAGAAAACACCGTAAGAAACACACCGAAGGAATCGAAGGAAAGAATCTGAATCACGAAAAACTCAAAACCCTCAGCTTGCGACGATCGGTGTAAACTCCAGCTGTAAAGTGAGGTCCTTCGGTGGAGCAATTCACTCGATCTCATACCCCATCCTAAAGAGGCACAAAAAAACGGGCCTGATAGTGCCTTTTTTCTTTAGCTTCTGGAGGCTAGTCTGGGGCAGGATGATTGGAAGTTGTTGACACTTGTCGATTCCATTCCTCTTCTTGGCTTTAGAATTTTGCTTCTCTCAGTTTTGCCTGCTTCTTGCTTTCGCATCTTGAGAAATCCGCATACCAGGAGTGACAGGTGGGGCTCGTCCCATCCAGTCAGTGGATGTGACAACAAAAACCCCCTAGCCGCCCTAGCCTCGATCGCACCCATTTGGAACTGCTGGTATATACAGCCCTGGATCACGTGGGTGGAGCTCACCGAGTCACAAGGCCACGGAGGTGGGGCCCGGACAACAGAGGTCACGGTGGTGTTGAACTGCTTGTAGATGAAGCTTGGAGGCTGACGTGCCTGGTGAGTTCCAATCGAAAAAAAATGGATCCAACAAGTCTCCTTGTTGGGTCCTTTGGTTCATCATCTCCTCTTTCCTTTCGTTGTTAAATCCTTCAGGTCCTTCCAGTCTTTCTCTCTTTCTAAAACCATCTAGACTAAATGCAAGGACCGTAAACCACAATATTCGACCAACCCACCGGTTTCACTTCGGGTGAACTGCAACTCGCCGCTTCTCCGTCCATCGTTCACATTGTTGAAGCAAACCGCCCGAGACCGAAGAGCCTGAATGTTCACCACCAAGGGCGAGCCGTTCGGGTACAGCACGGTCGAGCCACTGGGCGACCGTCGAGAGTTCTTGTTGTCGTGTGGACTCGATTCGAGCGAAGGACGGGACCTGCTGAACTGGATGGTGGAGACAAACATGGGCAACACGGTGATTGGAACAACCACGGACCCTTAGTGCACATGGTAGTGACCTGAACATCTGCTATTTTGCAAGATCATTCCCTGTATCTGTATGATATACTGCTCGTGATCTGCTGGATCTTCTTTTAGAATAGGGGATCTTTTTGGTATTTATGTGCTCCCATCTCACACTATGGTGCCACGGGATTCCATGAATTGGAAATTCACACGTCCAATTTGACCACTGGAATCTGCGAAGAACAAAAATTGCCGCAGTGAAACAATCACTGACCGGGTGCCAGGATGGGCATCTGTGGGCATCCATTGTTTTCTCGACTCTAAACTCTGCGCTCAAAGTGAGTGGACAGCGCACTCAACAGAACAGCCTACTGGAGTACTTCCAAGGGCCGACTGCAAACTGCCCCCAGCAGCTTTGGCGGATTCCTGTCTTCGGTTTGATACAGGGTTTTATCGCACAGCACGTTCTTGCCAATTCTGCATGGTATTGATCTGCACAACGGGGAAATCTGTCGAAACATATGCATACGGGGAAATCTATTGGTAGATAGGCAGCGAAATACCACAACCGACAAACCTGTAGATGAATTCACCAAAGTACAGTACGTCTGAGAATCAAACACAAGGGCCCTCCACGAACTGCTCACAAATGAGTCCTGATTGGGTGTGAAACCGACCATATGTCATCGAAAATAGCGGAGTGGCAAACTGACTGGTGCCCAGTCATGTTCGGCTCTCCAAATGAGGGGCCAAGATGGGCCAAGGGCCCGTGACGCCCCATGGGTGTCACACCTGTCTATAGCTTGAGTTTCCCGACTCATGGGCACACCACACCTGGAAAAACACTCAGTGCTACTCTTGTGTCGTTCCCATTGTAGTGTCTTCATGTTGTTTCACGTGTGGGACAGATCTTTTTCTTTGTATTTGTTCATTCGTTTCTCTGTGCTCTCAGTTGCTTTTGAGTATGAAAGAGCTTGTGATCTTAGCGCCCAAGTCAAACACGGAAAATGCTGGCCGATGATTCGCATCTTGCAGTGATCTGGGGCGAACCTTTACCCAATCCTCCATTGCTATCAGGATGGAGGCCATCGCAAATAGGTGGAGGCCATCGCTATTAGGTCAGGTTGGAGGCCATCCCTATTAGGTTGGAGGCCATGACTACTATAGGTTGGAGGCCATCGCTTCTAGGTTGTAGGCCATCGCTTCTATGTTGGAGGCCATCGCTATTGGGGTGGAGGCCATCGCTATTAGGTTGGAGGC